ATTTATCGCCTGTTCGAAGTCATTTGGCGTCAGGATAACATCAGATAGGCTTGTGTTAACCAAATTTTGTGGCTCTCTCATAAAAAATTAATTTTGAGAGCTCACACACAGTTTTGTGAACACTCGACGTCCCGACATGATAGCTGTTGTTGAAACATTTTTGGATGACAGGACTCCAGAAAATTTTGCAAGAATTGCTGGCTACACCTCATGGATGAGAAGAGACAGGCAAGGGCAAGGAGGAGGTGTTGCTGTGTGCTTCTCTAAAAGTGTTCATGCCCAGCACATTGATGTTGCCACCCCTACACATCTTGAAATGATGTTCTTCAAGCTCTGCATAAACACTAGTACCTCTGTACTAGCATGTGCAATGTACAGACCTCAGTGGCAACATGCAGATCCCATCAACTTCCTAATGGAAAATATTGACTCCCTTCTGCTACAACATAACTGTCAACATATCATAATTGTTGGTGACCTCAACCAGCACCTTATACAGAGGGACTTTGATGCCCTTCTTGCAGTGTTTGACATGAGAAACTTTCTTGATTTCCCTACTCACATCTCTGGCTCCTCCCTTGACCCAGTAGTGAGTGATCTGGCAGAAGGCATAGTCACTTGTCAACCCCTCGGCTATGTTGGATCGTCTGACCACAAGGCTGTTTTTACAACACTTAAGATCCCAACAGAACGAGGTGAGGAGTCCACACGCACAACCTGGCTATGGGAAAGAGGTAATTGGCCAGCCCTTCGCTCTGAGCTCACCACTACCGATTGGAATGCTCTTCTCCAAAGGGATGTTGACAACCAAGTGAAAGCCTTCACTGGATACATCCTTAATCTACAACAAGAACACATTCCTCACCGGCAATATGTGATGAAGCCTACGGATCAGCCTTGGTTTGGCTTTCATTGTAGAGAGGCTGCTACTGCTAAGTACAAAGCATGGTGAAGGTATAAGAGACATCCTACCACCTATAACAGGAACTTGCACAGGCAAGCCTGTAGACATATGGGTGATGTTCAAAAGTGGGCCATTGCTAAATGGGAGGTGGACACTAAAAGAAAGCTAGCATCAGGTAGGATAGGCTCCAAAACCTGGTGGTCCCTTGTCAAGGACAGACAAGGTTATCTGCCTGATGAACTCATTCCACCTCTAAATCGACAGGATGGGACCACCTCTACTAGTAGTCAAGAGAAGGCGGACCTCTTTGCTGAACACTTTGCTACCAAAATGCAAGTTCCTGATCCAGCAAGGGACCCTCCTGGCTAGCTGCAAGAACTGTGTCAAAACTGTCAGTGGTGACAATAAGGCAGGAGGAGGTGCATTTCCTTCTTAAATCGCTTGACCAAGAAAAGGCTGTGGGCCCAGACAAGTTGAGCCCAAGATTGCTGAGAAGATGTGCAGACCAGCTAGCAGCACCTCTAACTCGCATCTTTCAGCACTGCCTAGTACAGTGTAAATGGCCCTCTCTATGGAAAGAGGCAAATGTAGTCCCTGTTCACAAAAAGAAGAGCAGAGCAGTAATCAGCAACTACAGACCAGTGTCACTCCTGTCAATCACTGGTAAGATCCTTGAGACAATAATCTCAAGACAAATGACAGAGTTTTTTGACTATCACTCACTACTTTGTGATCGTCAATATGGCTTCAGGAAAGGTTACTCTGCTGCTGATCTGTTGTTAAACCTCTCCACTAAGTGGCACCAGTCACTGGATGAATCCAAAGTCAGCTGTGTGGTAACACTGGACATTGCTGGAGCTTTCAACCGGGTGTTGCACCAGGGACTCTTAGCAAAACTTCAAGCACTGGGTATTGCAGGCTCTATGCTATGTCTCCTCAGTGATTACCTTCATGGTAGATCTCTAAGTGTAGTTCTCAATGGAATGGAATCAGCAAGACATCCTATTGGGGCAAGTGTTCCACAAGGAAGCATGCTGGGACCATTGTTATGGAATGTCTACTTCAACGACCTTCTTCATCTCATCCCAGAATCACATGCATATGCAGACGACTGTACACTGACATTCACTTATCCAAGAGAAGAAATACCAGCTGCTCTAAGCTACATCAGTCACCAGCTGAGAGCTATATCAACTTGGGGAAATAGATGGCAAATAACATTTGCACCTGAGAAAATGCAAATGATGATCGTCTCTAGGCACCATGATGGTAATGCTGGTGCAGTAGTAAGGATGAATGGGAGGGTGTTGGCACCTGGAGAAGAAGTTTATATCCTTGGGGTGAAATTTGACTGCAAACTAACCATGAAGAACCATGTTGTAAATCTTGCAAACAAGGCATCCAGGAAGCTTACAGCACTTCGCCGTATCTCGCATCTACTTGACAGTAGGGGTTGCAAGATTCTGTACGAGGCACAAGTACGCTCGCACCTTGAGTATGCTCCACTTTCTTGGTTTGCCTGCCCCCCCTCTCATCTGCGACTGCTTGACAGAGTAGAGAACAGAGCAAGACGTCTCATCTCTCGCCTGGACCCATCCTGGATAGATCCGTCATTTCAGCAGAGCCTTCAACATAGGAGGGATGTGGGTGGCCTTACTGTTATGTACAAAGCCAATATTGTCAAAGTACCACACTTGGATCCACTTTGAGGACAGCATGAAACAAGCTTTTATGCCACAAGATGGGCAGAAAGCAGCAACTTCACTCTGGCTGTACCCTTCTCCAGAACTTCACTCCATCTGAGATCCTATATACCCAGGATGACTCGAGTATGGAACACATTCGTACAGCATAATGATGTCAATGAGATAAAGTCAGTTGATCAAATGAAAATGCTGGCCCACAGATGGCTCCAGCTTCATCCTGTTCCCTACGTGTATGTCTCATAACAAAAAAAATGCTTTCAAATGAGCTGATGTAGGTAACAGCTCTTAGCTTGCCAATAAAGTTAGGAATCCTTAACCTGTAAATAGCTTGTCAATAAAGCTAGGGATCCTTAACCTTGTCAAACCCTGTGTAAAAAAAAAAAAAAAAAAAAAAAAAAAAAGGTGGGCTAGAATAAGTGCACGAAATGAGGATGATGATGAGGAGCTATTGGGTAAATTTAAGAATGCATTGCTAAAGTGAACAGTAGAGGTTTGTGGGCATAGAAAGGTGGGAAGATACCAAAGGACTGGTAAGAAGTGTGCGTAGTTTCCTTCTATAAGGGAAATGGGGATAAGAAAGAATGTAAGAATTGCAGGGGGATAAGACTGGTGAATGTACCAGGTAAAGCTTACAGTAGAAGTAATACTGAAGGAGTTAGGGTAAGATAGAAAGTAGGATTACAGTATGGCAGGGAGGATTTAAAAGATAAAGATGAAGATTTTATTTCTTTGCAAGGTTACAATGTGTATTTACAATTTTGATTAGTTAAGTACAAAGAAAGCCACTATCATACTGGGGCATATTGGGCAGACTTATCCTAATAGATAATAACTACTTAAGGCTAGATAGGATAAAGGGAAAGGGTAAGGGGTGTATAGACCAAGTGTTTATATTGAATCATATGAGCAAGCAATACTTAGATAAAAGTAAGAGCTTTTTGTTGCTTTCATTGGTCTAGAAAAGGCATATGATGGGGTGGATAGGGGAGCTATGTAGCATATGTTGCAAATGTGTGGAATAGGAGGTAGGTTACAGTAAGCAGTTTCTATGCACAGAGTGAAGCACAGGTTAGGGTATATAGAAGGAAAGGGGACTTTTTCCAAGCAGAAGCAGGATTTAGACAGGGATGCGTACCACCATGGCTGTTTAACATGTTTATAGCTAGGGTTATAAAAGTAAGTGGGGAGAGGTTTGGTATTAAAAGATACTTGAGATGATACAGGGTGGAAGTTATCACAGTTTCTTTTTTTTCCTGATGATGCAATTCTTTGTGGAGGATTCTGAAAACAAGGTTGGTGGATAAATTTAGGAAGGTGTGTAAAAGAAGAAAATTAAAGAGGAAGGTGATGAGGGTAACAAACAAGTCTAGGCAATGGTAGAATGAAAATTAGATTGGAGGGAGGGAGTATGGAGGAGGTGGATGTATCAAAATATTTTGGAGTGAGCATGTCAGCAGACAGGTCTATGAAAGACAAGGTGAAGGAAAAGGTGGATTGTGTGTTGAGGCATCTGTGGAAAGAAGTTTATTCGTGGAGGCAAAAGGGAATGTACCCATGTATAGCAGTACCAACATTTTTATGTGAATGTGAAGCATAGGTTTTGAATGCTACAGCAAGAAGGCACTGGAAATGACATGTTGGAGAGCAGTGTGTGAACTGAATATCATTCAGAGAATTCATAGTGTAGAAATTAAAAGGAGTAAGGAGGGGTTGTTCAAGTGGTTTGGGTATAAAGAGAGGTTGACAAAGAGGGTGCATAAATTCGGGGTGAAGGTAGAAGGAAAAATGGTTGTCTCAGGAATGATTGGAGAGATTGGAGTTTACCTGGAGAGAGTTCCAGGGGTCAACGCCTCCGCGGCCTGGTCTGTGACCATGCCTCGTGGTGGATCAGGGCCTGATCAACCAGGCTGTTACTGCTGGCTGCACGCAATCCAGCGTACGAGCCACAGCTCGGCTGGTCAGGTACCGACTTTAAGTAAAAGATTCTGTGAGCTTCAGGGGCTTGAGCATCTAGTAGGCTCTTGTGAGCTTGTTAGATAGGAGTGAATGAAGGCAAATGGTTTTTCATGGATGTTCTGTTGGAGTGTGAGCAAAGTAACTTTTATGAGGGGATTCAAGGAACCTGGTTAGACAGACTTGAAGCCTGGAGGTGGGAAAGGCAGTGCCTACTACATCCTGGAGGGGTGGGTATGTTGCAATGGGAGGATAATCTGAATTGTAATATCAGCACACTTCTGGAAAGATAGTTGAATGAATGATAATGATGAATGTATTTTCTTCTTTTGGTCACCCTGCCTTGGTAAGAGATGACCAGTGAGGTAAAAAAAAAAAAACACTATTATCTTTTATATTTCATTTATTAATACATATTATTTTATGATCATCATCAGGGAGTTGTGGTGGGCTGACCCAGTTGACTGGCATAGCATACGAGGTTCCCAGATGATCATCTTAATGAAGCTGGTGTCTGTTGGATATGACCTGGATTCTGCAACACTTCTCAGTCCCCCCAATCCTCTAGAGATAGCAGGATACATCATGAATCCTGGCACTGTTATTTTTGGTCCCTGGTTTTCATTTAGCTCATACCTGAAAGTTGTTGGACCATTATCTTGGGTATGCTATCTTAGCAATTGGTCATTGCAGTATTATACATAATGAGAGATACCCTACCCATGTCTATGAAATATCTTCATCAGGAAAATAAGCATCAAATCTAAGCTTAACATCTTCACAGTTTTCATTCTGCGTGATTTTTATACTAAATTTATAGATCATTATTTTTATTATTATATGATTCCTTTTAACCCTTTCTGGGTCCGTGCCGTAGATCTACGGCTTTACGTTCAGGGTCCAAACCGTAGATCTATGCCATGAGCTCATCTCACTCTGATAAGCTGTGAGTGGTGAATTTGGGCCTAGATATGAGAGAATACATCTATGTGGTATGTGTGCACCACATAAAACAAATCCTGCAGCACACAGTGTATAATGAGAAAAAAAAAACTGTGACCGTGATTTTCGATTAAAACAGCGACTTTGCAGTGTTTTTTCGTATGTTTTTTATAGTTGTATTTGTGATTTCTTGGTCTTATTTGATAGAATGGAAGATATATTACAGAAATAGAGATGATTTTGATTGGTTTTAGCACTGGAAGTGGCTTGAAACTGAGTTCAAAGTAGTGAAATGTTAAATTTTTGCCTATGTTCAAGAGTAAACAAACGACCTCACACATCTAATACACGCCAGCTGGTGGGTCTAATATACATTCACAAATGTGGTGATATTTCGTAATATTTTGGTAATATTTGGTAATATTTAGTGAAGGGATTCAGGGAAACTGGTTATTTTCATATAGTCGGACTTGAGACCTGGAAATGGGAAGTACAATGCCCGCACTTTAAAGGAAGGGTTTGGGATATTGGCAGTTTGGAGGGATATGTTGTGTATCTTTATACGTATATGCTTCTAAACTGTTGTATTCTGAGCACCTCTGCAAAAACAGTGATAATATGTGAGTGTGGTGAAAGTGTTGAATGATAATGAAAGTATTTTCTTTTTGGGGTTTTTGTTTCTTTTTTGGGTCACCCTGCCTCGGTGGGAGACGGCCGACTTGTTGAAAAAAAAAAATGTGGTGATGATATTTATACAATTATTACAATATTGCATAAGAGTAAATCTTCTATTTTTTTGGTTTGAATAAAAATTCCTTATGTGAATAAAATATCAAAATGGAATTCATTTGTAAAGCCTCATAATGTAACTAATGAACAGAGGAAAGGTTAGTTTAGTGCCAGGAATGCCTACATTGTTTATTCTGGATCCTATTTTGAAATTGGAATATTTTGAACTTTGTGTTAAATTGGCCAAATTACCAATTTCCAATCACTATTTTGTAGTTGAAACAGTTGACTTGGCAATTTCTTGTGCTCAATTGATAGAATAGAAGTAATACTAGTGAAATAGCTAAGAATTTGGTTGACTGGAATAATGTAATTGGCCTAAAATGGGAGTCAAAGTCGACAAAATTGCAGATTCGTAAATATCGCTGACGCATCAAAATTCGCAAGAGCATAATTTCGTCAATTTTCCATCAAATTTTGTACTTTTTGTTTTATTACCGTCAGAAAAAGATTCTCTACCATTTCATAAGAAAAAATAACAAAAATTTTTTTTTTGAAAATTCTTGGACCCTGGTGTGCACTTTGAAATTTGGCCTCTGGACCCTGAAAGGGTTAAAAGCTTTGATTATGCAGGATAAATGGCTAGGATAACTGACTAATCATGAGATTACCAATCAAATTAATGTGAGAAGGTTTGATATCCTCACCACTATAGAGGGTTTACAAAGTGGTAACTAAGGATGATCAAAGAACTTTTTAGATACTGTATCTACCCGACATTTTCATGATGTTTGTCTAAATCTAATTCATTATTGTTATTGGCAGAGTCTGTGGTTGATCCCTGGTATTGTGCTTCGCCTGGCACTGAGCATCATGTTCCTGCTGGTATCCACTTGCTACACCTCCTGGCTTGTCCCAGATTCAGCCAATAGGTAACACAGTATTTTAGATTTGGAAAGAATATTTGATATTTCCTTATTAATTTGGCTGTACTGTGAGAATTGTGATTAGTGCATTTGTTTTTTGAATTTTTAATTTAATTTTTGTTTGACTGTATTGTGTAAGGATACGTAAGATACTTGTATGTGCTCAACTACACTGAAATAAAAACTTATTGGAGTAAGAGATAAGGAAAGAGTTAGAGAAAATATATAGTGAAAAGTAGTAGTACCTTAAACATAACCAGAGAGCACCATATCAATATTAGAAAACACATTGTTAGCTGGACTTGAGTCCTGGAGGTGGGAAGTACAATGCCTGCACTCTGAAGGAGAGATGGAGGTATGTTGCAGTTATTGAATTGTAGTATCGGCACATGTCTGGCAAGACAGGGATGAAATGAGTGATGATGAAAGTATGTCTTCTTTTTTGGGTCACTCTGCCTTGGCGGGAAACAGTCGATGTGTTAAAAAAATTGTTAACATTAAAACACCACAATTCTTCAGCCTCTACAGTACTAGCAAAGAATAAAAATACTGTTATAGCAAATGCTGAAATGTTCAAGAGGGTGATAGACTAAGTTTCTGTAAGCCTGATCATCTGGGTTGTGATGACTGTGGGCCTGCAAGTCACTAATAGCAGTTGCCTGATTGATTAGGTGGTTACAAAGAACCCTGTCCTTAACCCTTTGAGGGTTTTCGTCGTACTAGTACGTCTTACGCGTAGGGGTTTTTGACGTACTAGTACTCATAAATTCTAGCGGCCTCAAATCTAGTGGGAGAAAGCTGGTAGGCCTTCATATGAAAGAATGGGTCTATGTGGTTAGTGTGCACAGTCTAAAAAAAATCCTGCAGCACACAGTGCATAATGAGAAAAAAAAAACTTTTTCCATTTTTTTTTAATAAATCAGCGACTTTGCAGTGTATTTTCGTATGGTATTTATTGTTGTATTCTAGTTTTCTTGGTCTCATTTTATAGAATGGAAGACATATTACTGAAATTGAGATGATTTTGACTGGTTTTACAATGAAAGGTGCCTTGAAATTGAGCTCAAAGTAGCAGAATGTTTCGATTTTTACCAAACTTCAAAAGTAAACAAATCGTGCCAAGCGTGCAATACACGTCAACTGGCGAGTCTAATATTCTTTCACAAGTGCACCAATAATATTTATACCATTTTTTACACTAATTGCAGTAGTCTGCATAACAGTAAATCTTATATTTTTGTGAGAATAAAAATTCAAAGTGGAAAGCAAAAGAATATAAGAGGGGCCGTGAGACGTGACTAATGACTAGAGGAAATGTCATTTTAGTGCCCGGAATGTCTTTCTTGTTTATTCTGGACCCTATTCCGAAATTGGCATCTTTTGAAATTTGTGTGAAATTGGCAAAATTGCTAAATTCTGACCACTGTACTGGATAGTTGAATTTATAAATGGGTGGTTTCTTGCACCCATTCGATAGAAAAAATGGAGTTCTAGCGAAATATTCATGTTTTTTGTCGACTAGTACAGTGAAATTGGCCGAAAATGAGGCTCAAAGTGGGCAAATCGCCGATGCGTAAACATCGCCGAGACCGCTAACTTTGCGGAGAGCATAATTCCGTAAGTTTTCTATCAAATTTCAAACTTTTGGTGTCGTTATGATCGGGAAAAGATTCTCTATCTTTTCATAAGAGAAAATAATTTTTTTTTTTTTTTAAATTTGGCCGACCCTGAGAACGAGTTTCGGAGAGGGCCTGTCGACCCTCAAAGGGTTAAGCAGAGTAGCAACAGCAGTTTTTTTTTTTTTTTTTTTTTAGATACTGGTCAGTAGTAAAATTACAGGTAATAGCAACCTTCTTTTCAGAGATTAACAAATAAAACCAAATGTGTACACTTTGCTTTGAATTTAAGAATCTATGTAATATTTTTCTATCCTTGATTACTAATGTTAAATAAAAAATTAAATAGCAATACTGAATGTAATAATAACCATTACAATGCTTATTATTGATAGTGTTGAATGATTGTGAAAGTGTTTCTTTTTTGGGTCACCCTGCCTCGGCCAGCAAGTATAAAAATAAAAAATTTATTATTTTTTTTTATTATCACACTGGCCGATTCCCACCAAGGCAGGGTGGCCCGAAAAAGAAAAACTTTCACCATCATTCGCTCCATCACTGTCTTGCCAGAAGGGTACTTTACACTACAGTTTTTAAACTGCAACATTAACACCCCTCCTTCAGAGTGCAGGCACTGTACTTCCCATCTCCAGGACTCAAGTCCGGCCTGCCGGTTTCCCTGAACACCTTCACAAATATTACCTTGCTCACACTCCAACAGCACGTCAAGTATTAAAAACCATTTGTCTCCATTCACTCCTATCAAACACGCTCACGCATGCCTGCTGGAAGTCCAAGCCCCTCGCACACAAAACCTCCTTTACCCCCTCCCTCCAACCTATCCTAGGCCGACCCCTATCCCGCCTTCCTTCCACTACAGACTGATACACTCTTGAAGTCATTCTGTTTCGCTCCATTTTCTCTACAAGTCCGAACCACCTCAACAACCCTTTCTCAGCCCTCTGGACAACAGTTTTGGTAATCCCGCACCTCCTCCTAACTTCCAAACTACGAATTCTCTGCATTATATTCACACCACACATTGCCCTCAGACATGACATCTCCACTGCCTCTAGCCTTCTCCTCGCTGCAACATTCATCACCCATGCTTCTCACCCATATAAGAGCGTTGGTAAAACTATACTCTCATACATTCCCTTCTTTGCCTCCAAGGACAAAGTTCTTTGTCTCCACAGACTCCTAAGTGCACCACTCACCCTTTTCCCCTCATCAATTCTATGATTCACCTCATCTTTCATAGACCCATCCGCTGACACGTCCACTCCCAAATATCTGAATACATTCACCTCCTCCATACTCTCTCCCTCCAATCTGATATCCAATCTTTCATCACCTAATCTTTTTGTTATCCTCATAACCTTACACTTTCCTGTATTCACTTTTAATTTTCTTCTTTTGCATTTTATTTTTTATTTTATTATCACACTGGCCGATTCCCACCAAGGCAGGGTGGCCCGAAAAAGAAAAACTTTCACCATCATTCGCTCCATCACTGTCTTGCCAGAAGGGTGCTTTACACTACAGTTTTTAAACTGCAGCATTAACACCCCTCCTTCAGAGTGCAGGCACTGTACTTCCCATCTCCAGGACTCAAGTCCGGCCTGCCGGTTTCCCTGAATCCCTTCATAAATGTTACTTTGCTCACACTCCAACAGCACGTCAAGTATTAAAAACCATTTGTCTGCATTCACTCCTATCAAACACGCTCACGCATGCCTGCTGGAAGTCCAAGCCCCTCGCACACAAAACCTCCTTTACCCCCTCCCTCCAACCCTTCCTAGGCCGACCCCTACCCGCCTTCCTTCCACTACAGACTGATACACTCTTGAAGTCATTCTGTTTCGCTCCATTCTCTCTACATGTCCGAACACCTCAACAACCCTTCCTCAGCCCTCTGGACAACAGTTTTGGTAATCCCGCACCTCCTCCTAACTTCCAAACTACGAATTCTCTGCATTATATTCACACCACACATTGCCCTCAGACATGACATCTCCACTGCCTCCAGCCTTCTCCTCGCTGCAACATTCATCACCCACGCTTCACACCCATATAAGAGCGTTGGTAAAAACTATACTCTCATACATTCCCCTCTTTGCCTCCAAGGACAAAGTTCTTTGTCTCCACAGACTCCTAAGAGCACCACTCACTCTTTTTCCCTCATCAATTCTATGATTCACCTCATCTTTCATGCACCCATCTGCTGACACGTCCACTCCCAAATATCTGAATACGTTCACCTCCTCCATACTCTCTCCCTCCAATCTGATATTCAATCTTTCATCACCTAATCTTTTTGTTATCCTCATAACCTTACTCTTTCCTGTATTCACCTTTAATTTTCTTCTTTTGCACACCCTACCAAATCATCCACCAATCTCTGCAACTTCTCTTCAGAATCTCCCAAGAGCACAGTGTCATCAGCAAAGAGCAACTGTGACAACTCCCACTTTATGTGTGATTCTTTATCTTTTAACTCCACGCCTCTTGCCAAGACCCTTGCATTTACTTCTCTTACAACCCCATCTGTAAATATATTAAACAACCACGGTGACATCACACATCCTTGTCTAAGGCCTACTTTTACTGGGAAATAATTTCCCTCTTTCCTACATACTCTAACTTGAGCCTCACTAACCTCGTAAAAAACTCTTCACTGCTTTCAGTAACCTACCTCCTACACCATACACCTGCAACATCTGCCACATTGCCCCCTTATCCATCCTGTCATACGCCTTTTCCAAATCCATAAATGCCACAAAGACCTCTTTAGCCTTATCTAAATACTGTTCACTCATGTGTTTCACTGTAAACACCTGGTCCACACACCCCCTACCTTTCCTGAAGCCGCCTTGTTCATCTGCTATCCTATTCTCCGTCTTACTCTTAATTCTTTCAATAATAACTCTACCATACACTTTACCAGGTATACTCAACAGACTTATTCCCCTATAATTTTTGCACTCTCTTTTGTCCCCTTTGCCTTTATACAGAGGAACTATGCATGCTCTCTGCCAATCCCTAGGTACCTTACCTTCTTCCATACATTTATTAAATAATTGCACCAACCACTCCAAAACTATATCCCCACCTGTTTTTAACATTTCTATCTTTATCCCATCAATTCCGGCTGCCTTACCCTCTTTCATTTTACCTACTGCCTCACGAACTTCCCCCACACTCACGACTGGCTCTTCCTCACTCCTACAAGATGTTATTCCTCCTTGCCCTATACACAAAATCACAGCTTCCCTATCTTCATCAACGTTTAACAATTCCTCAAAATATTCCCTCCATCTTCCCAATACCTCTAACTCTCCATTTAATAACTCTCCTCTCCTATTTTTAACTGACAAATCCATTTGTTCTCTAGGCTTCCTAAACTTGTTAATCTCACTCAAAAACTTTTTCTTATTTTCAACAAAATTTGTTGATAACATCTCACCCACTCTCTCATTTGCTCTCTTTTTACATTGCTTCACCACTCTCTTAACCTCTCTCTTTTTCTCCATATACTCTTCCCTCCTTGCATCACTTCTACTTTGTAAAAACTTCTCATATGCTAACTTTTTCTCCCTTACTACTCTCTTTACATCATCATTCCACCAATCGCTCCTCTTCCCTCCCGCACCCACCTTCCTGTAACCACAAACTTATTGCAATATAATAATTGAAAAAGCTTTTCTTTATTGATTGATTTCTGTAATAAACTAGTTTCTTCATAGATTTAATAAATATTAGTGTTGATGCAGTTGTTCACACACTGTGATGCTATGAAAGTATTGTAAGTCACATTGATAATTACTGAATATCTGATGCTCTGACGCTGAAGTGGGATGTGATAAAAACCAAGTTTACAAGTATATTATTGCATTCTGGAACAGAAATATATCTCTGCATGGTACCTAATGTTGTGGGAGTTGAAAGTTGTGGAATTCCTTGTTTTCTTCTAACATTGAATAACTATAAGGATATAGTGCTTGTTTTTAATATAATTTTAATTATATAATAATTTTTTTTACACGTCGGCCGTTTCCCATCAAGGCAGGGTGAACAAAAAAGAAAGAAAAAACTTTCATCATCATTCAACACTTTCACCATCACTGTCAGATACAACAGTTTAAATGTCCCTCCAAACTGCCAATATCCCAAACCCCTCCTTTAAAGTGTAGGCATTGTACTTCCCACTTCCAGGACTCAAGTTCGGCTAACCAGTTTCCCTGAATCCCTTCACAAAATATTACCCTGCTCACACTCCAACAGCTTGTCAAGTCCCAAATCCATTCATCTCCATTCACTCCTGTCTAACACGCTCACACATGCTTGATGGAAGTCCAAACCCCTCACTCACAAAACCTCCTTTACCCCTTCCCTTCAACCTTTTTTAGGACGACCCCTACCCCGCCTTCCTTCCCCTACAGATTTATACACACTCCATGTCATTCTACTTTGATCCATTCTCTCTAAATGACCAAACCACCTCAACAACCCCTCTTCAGCCCTCTGACTAATACTTTTAGTAACTCCACACCTCCTAATTTCCACACTACAAATTCTTTGCATAATATTAACACCACACTTTGCCCTTAGACACGACATCTCCACTGCCTCCAACCGCCTCCTTGCTGCAGCATTTGCAATCCATGCTTCACACCCATATAAGAGTGTTGGTACCACAATACTCTCGTACATTCCCTTCTTTGCCTCCATGGATAATGTTTATGTCTCCACAGATACCTCAATGCATCACTCACCTTTTTTACTTCGTTAATTCTGTGATTAACCTCATCCTTCATAAACCCATCCGCTGACAAGTCAACTCCCAAATATGGAGGAGGTGAACGTATTCAGATATTTGGGAGTGGACGTGTCAGCGGATGGGTCTATGAAAGATGAGGTGAATCATAGAATTGATGAGGGAAAAAGAGTGAGTGGTGCACTTAGGAGTCTGTGGAGACAAAGAACTTTGTCCTTGGAGGCAAAGAGGGGAATGTATGAGAGTATAGTTTTACCAACGCTCTTATATGGGTGTGAAGCGTGGGTGATGAATGTTGCAGCGAGGAGAAGGCTGGAGGCAGTGGAGATGTCATGTCTGAGGGCAATGTGTGGTGTGAATATAATGCAGAGAATTAGTAGTTTGGAAGTTAGGAGGAGGTGCGGGATTACCAAAACTGTTGTCCAGAGGGCTGAGGAAGGGTTGTTGAGGTGGTTCGGACATGTAGAGAGAATGGAGCGAAACAGAATGACTTCAAGAGTGTATCAGTCTGTAGTGGAAGGAAGGCGGGGTAGGGGTCGGCCTAGGAAGGGTTGGAGGGAGGGGGTAAAGGAGGTTTTGTGTGCGAGGGGCTTGGACTTCCAGCAGGCATGCGTGAGCGTGTTTGATAGGAGTGAATGGAGACAAATGGTTTTTAATACTTGACGTGCTGTTGGAGTGTGAGCAAAGTAACATTTATGAAGGGATTCAGGGAAACCGGCAGGCCGGACTTGAGTTCTGGAGATGGGAAGTACAGTGCCTGCACTCTGAAGGAGGGGTGTTAATGTTGCAGTTTAAAAACTGTAGTGTAAAGCACCCTTCTGGCAAGACAGTGATGGAGTGAATGATGGTGAAAGTTTTTCTTTTTCGGGCCACCCTGCCTTGGTGGGAATCGGCCGGTGTGATAATAAAAAAAAATAAAAATTCACTTCTTCCATAACCCTCTCTCTAATGTGTTATCCAATTTTTCTTTATCTAAATCATTTGATACCCTCATCACCTTACTCTTTATCTGTGTTCACTTTCAACTTTCTACCTATACACCTTTATGTATCTATATATTTAGTCTTACAATTTGAAATATGTTTTGATTTGTTGCAGATGGGGATTGGCATATAGAGAAGCACTCTCTTTTCGATTTAGTCACTACTTTGTCTCTTACCTGAGTGAAACATCTGCTCTTCTTGCTGGTTTGGATATGAGCAAGGTTGCCAGGCCATATTTTATTGAGCTTCCACGATCTCTTGTTGAGGTGGTTATATACTGGAATGTGCCTATGCACCACTGGCTCAAGACCTGTAAGTTTGTTCCTTTATTTTTATCAGTGCTTGTAAATGTGAAAGTATTTCCTCCTTTTATTATTGAAAATATCTAAATGAAGGTAAATTAAATATGTTGTAATAGAGTGAAGCAGTCATGAGGGTGAAAGAAATCTGAAGATTCAGTATTTTGGGCTGAAAAGAATACACATCAACAGAAGTTAGCTTTTATATGTCCAGTGTATCTGGCTCCCATGGCTGCTCTCTCTGACTTCCTCTAATAAATATCATCTCTATATCCCCCAGTACTATATTAATTTTAACTATATAGTATTATGAAGAATATTTATACAACATAATATTTTGTTTTCTGGTTCACCCTACTCTGGTGGTAGACAGCCATTGTGAGGAAAACTTATGTTTTGCTAAAAAATTAGAGGTGGAGTGGGAATTATTGATGAAGGTGTAGTTTAGCAGTGTAGTAGTAGATAATATTATATGGGAATACCGATGAGATGTAATTGATAAATGTAATAGATTTTGTATGCCACACAAATGACCACCAAATTTACAAAAAAAAAAGGCTGAGAGACATACAGTGGAACCTCAGCTTACGAACTCAATCCATTCTGTGGCTTTGTTTGTATCCTGATTTGTTCGTATGCCAAGTCAATTTTCTTCATTTAAATTAATTGAAATGGCATTAATCCGTTCCAGCAGAATTCCTTCTCTCAGGAGGCATGACAAAATAATGCTAATATAAACTCGACAGCTTATTTATCTATCACATTCATCTAATATGACATAATAAACAATATTAATAACATAACATAACATATACACTAGAATGAATGAAATATATCATTACATATTTGAGTAGTGGTAGTGGAGATGGCAGCACAGCGACCATTGTTCCTGCTCCTGACTACATACCTTCCCATGCTTTTATTATAACAGAAAACAGAGTGTTTGTAAGGCATACTCCATTAGATCAGAACTTGAGTCCTGGAAATGGGAAGTACAATGCCTGCACTTTAAAGGAGGGGTTTGGGATATTGGCAGTTTGGAGGGATATGTTATGTATCTTTATATGTATATGTTTCTAAACTGTTGTATTCTGGGCACCTCTGCAAAAACAGTGATTATGTGTGAGTGAGGTGAAAGTGTTAAATGATGATGAAAGTATTTTCTTTTTGGGGATTTTCTTTCTTTTTTGGGTCACCCTGCCTCGGTGGGAGATGGCCAACTTGTTGAAAAAAAAAAATAATAATACTACAGCATTTACCTTGGAGAAGAAATGCTGGCCAAGATTGATGAGGAAGAAGAGATGCTGGGCACAGCAGCGTATGCTGGCAGGAGCTCATTTCATTTCATCCTTTTTCTATCACTTAATTGCTACACTCTTAGTTTGTGTTTATCAATGATTTCCTGCTTTAACCCTTTCAGGGTCCAAAGACCAAATTTCAAAGTGCACACCAGTGTCCAAAAATTTTCAAAAAATAATTTTGTTATTTTTTCCCTATGAAATGGTAGAGAATCTTTTTCTGAAGGTAATAAAGCAAAAATTACGAAATTTGATGGAAAATTGGCGAAATTATGCTCTTGTGAATTTTGATATGTCAGCGATTTTACTGAATTTGACTCCCATTTTAGGCCATTTATATTACTCCAGTTGACCAAATTCTTAGCTATTTCATTAGTATTACTTCTATTCTATCGATTGAGCACAAGAAATCGCCAAGTCAACTGTTTCAACTACAAAATAAAGTGATTGGAAATTGGTAATTTGGCCAATTTAATGCAAAGTTCAAAATATTCTAATTTCAAAATAGGGTCCAGAATAAACAATGCAGGCATTTCTGGAACTAAACTAACATTTCCTCTATTCATTAGTTACATTTTCAGGCTTTACAAATGAATTCCATTTTTATTTTTTATTCACATAATGAATTTTTATTCAAACCAAAAAATAGAAAATTTACTGTTATGCAATACTGTAATAATTGTATAAATAATATCACTACATTTGTGAACATATATTAGACCCACCAGCTGGCGTGTATTAGATGTGTGGGATCATTTGTGTACTCTTGAACATTGGCAAAAATTTAACATTTCTGCTATTTTGAACTGAGTTTCAACACATTTCCATTACTAATACCAATCAAAATCATCTCTATTTCTGTAATATATCTTCCATTCTATCAAATGAGACCAAGAAATTACAAATACGACTATGAAAAACATACTAAAAAGCACTGCAAATTCGCTGTTTTAATCGAAAATTACGATCTCAGTTTTTTTCCTCTCATTATGCACTGTGTGCTGTAGGATTTGTTTTATGTGGTGCATACATACCACATAGATGTATTCTCTCATATCTAGGCCCAAATTTACTGCTCACAGCTTATCAGAGTGAGTTGAGCTCATGGCGTAGATCCACGATTTGGACCCTCAACGTATAGCCGTAGATCTACGGCATGGACCCTCAAAAGGTTAATTCCATGGAAATCATCCTCTTTTTCTTCTCACCACTGTTTTTTGCATTTGCTTTCTTAAGACCCATGGTTAGAAGCAAGAAATTCTGCAAAATAACTGCATGAAACGTAAGCAAATCACAAGAATTATCTCTACTGCCAGTTGAAGTACACACAGACTGTGTGTTGTTTTCATACACGTAATGCCATCTCATGGTGGTGTTCTCAAACTCACTGGTACGTACGTATTATTATAATAATATTTTATTATTTATTATTAACACACTGGCCAATTCCCACCAAGGCAGGGTGATCTGAAAAAGAAAAACTTTCACCATCATTCACTTCATCACTGCCTTGCCACAAGGGTGCTTTACACTACAGTTTTTAAACTGCAACATTAACACCCCTCCTTCAGAGTGCAGGCACTGTACTTCCCATCTCCAGGACTCAAGTCCAGCCTGCCGGTTTCCCAGAATCCCTTCATAAATGTTACTTTGCTCACTCTCCAACAGCACGTCAAGTATTAAAAACCATTTGTCTCCATTCACTCCTATCAAACACGCTCATGCATGCCCGCTGGAAGTCTAAGCCCCTCGCACACAAAACTCCTTACCCCCTCCCTCCAAAACCCTTTCCTAGGCCGACCCCTATCCTGCCTTCCTTCCACTACAGACTGATACACTCTTGAAGTCATTCTGTTTCGCTCCATTCTTTACATGTCCGAATCACCTCAAAAACCTTCCTCAGCCCTCTGGACAACAGTTTTTGGTAATCCCCCACCTCCTCCTAACTTCCAAACTACGAATTCTCTGCATATATTCACACCACACATTGCCCTCAGACATGACATCTCCACTGCCTCCAGCCTTCTCCTCGCTGCAAAAATTCATCACCCATGCTTCACACCCATACAGGAGCGTTGGTAAAACTATACTCTCATTTCATTCCCCCCTTTGCCTCCAAGGACAAAGTTTTTTGTTCCACGATTCCTAAGTGCACCGCTCACCTTTTTCCCCTCATCAATTCTATGATTCACCTCATCTTTCATAGACCCATCCGCTGACACGCCACTCCCAAATATCTGAATGGGATTCACCTCCTCCATACTCTTCCCTACCCAAACTGATATCCAATCTTTCATCTCCTAATCTTTTTGTTATCCTCATAACCTTACTCTTTCCTGTATTCACTTTCAGTTTTCTTTCTTTTACATACCCTAAACCAAATTCATCCACCAACCTCGCAACTTCTCTTCAGAATCACCCAAGAGCACAGTGTCATCGCAAAGAGCAACTGTGACAACTCCCATTTATGTGTGATTCTTTTTCTTTTAACTCCACCCTCTTACCAAGACCCCCACATTTACTTCTCTTACAACCCCCTCTATAAATATATTGAACAACCACGGTGACATCACACATCCTTGTCTAAGGCCTACTTTTACTGGGAAATAATCTCCCTCTTTCCTTACATACTCTAACTTGAGCCCCACTATCCTCGTAAAAGCTCTTCACTGCTTTCAGTAACCTACCTCCTATACCATACATCTGCAACATCTGCCACATTGCCCCCTATCCACCCTGTCATATGCCTTTTCCAAATCCATAAATGCCACAAAAACCTCTTTAGCCTTATCTAAATACTGTTCACTTATATGTTTCACTGTAATCACCTGGTCCACACACCCCCTACCTTTCGTAAAGCCTCCTTTTTCATCTGCTATCCTATTCTCCGTCTTACGCTTAATTCTTTCAATAATAACTCTACCATACACTTTACCAGGTATACTCAACAGACTTCTTCTTCTTCTTTCAACATACCAGCCGTATCCCACCGAGGTGGGGTGGCCCAAAAGAAAAAACTAAAGTTTCTCCTTTTAAATTTAGTAATATATACAGGAGAAGGGGTTACTAGCCCCTTGCTCCCGGCATTTTAGTCGCCTCTTACGACACGCATGGCTTACAGAGGAAGAATTCTGTTCCACTTCCCCATGGAGATAAGAGGAAATAAACAAGAACAAGAATTAGAAAGAAAATAGAAGAAAACCCAGAGGGGTGTGTATATATATGCTTGTACATGTATGTGTAGTATGACCTAAGTGTAAGTAGAAGTAGCAAGACTTACCTGTAATCTTGCATATTTATGAGACAGACAAAAGACACCAGCAATCCTACCATCATGTAAAACAATTACAGGCTTTCGTTGTACACTCACTTGGCAGGATGGTAGTACCTCCCTGGACGGCTGCTGTCTATAATTTTTGCACTCTTTTGTCCCCTTTGCCTTTATACAGAGGAACTATGCATGCTCTCTGTCAATCCCTAGGTACCTTACCCTCTTCCATACATTTATTAAATAACAGCACCAACCAATCCAAAACTATATCCCCACCTGGTTTTAACATTTCTATCTTTATCCCATCAATCCCAGCTGCCTTACCCTCTTTCATTTTACCTACTGCCTCACAAACTTCCCTCACACTCACAACTGGCTCTTCCTCACTCCTACAAGATGTTATTCCTCCTTGCCCTATACACGAAATCACAGCTTCCCTATCTT